AGTGTCGTTCCTTCTGCCATGCCAGCAAACCTTGTAGCCATTGCTGTTCCGATCCCGGTACTCTCCAAAAGGCAATCCGAGGACATAAAGCATCTCTGGGTGTATTTCTGACTCACCATGTGACAGTAACATTTTCTAGGCATAAACCACAACGAGCAAAGAGGGATTCATGTCCTAGAGTGCTGCTGTTTTGCGGGAGCAGCCCCGCGCCCGCGCATGGGCGCATTCATTCCCAGGCTTCCTCAGGGAGATGGGGAGGTTTCTGTTGGAAGCGGCGTAAATGCCTCCCCAGAATATTTTTGCAGAGATCCTAGCAAAAGAGTGATTAAAAATACTAAGCAATACCACTTCAGAGTATTTCTAGTCATTCTTTATCTTTCTTTCACTCAGTCTAGACTTTAAATTTTAATATGATTGTTATTAACCTGCCCTATAGTCCTCGAACGAAAGTAGCTCTCAGTGGCCTTTTAGTTCCCATCCTGGTGGGTTGGGACCTTCGCTGCGCATCGCGTTCTCTCTGTAGGTGACAAATACCCTTTTTGTGGAATGTTCCATTTCCGGAGTTGCAGCCTCTGTGCCACATCCATCAGGGACTCTATATTTCATTTAGTTAAATAGACTTAAGAGAATCTACTAAGGAACCTACAGTCAGCTGGTATTGGAGATAAACATAAAAACCCCTTTTGCTCCGATTTTATTGCCATCTAATTAGGCAGCCAAGGAGTAAACAGACACATCTGAACGCAAGTCACAGCCAGAGCTATTTAAAGTCATGGTACAGAGGGGCTGACATTCAGCCAGTCACACTGGTTGGTCCAAACCAAGTGTTGGGTGCCATTTCTGTATCTGCTGCTAAATAACGGAGTGCCACCCTCCCCCCCCCCCGCCCCGTGTGCCAGTTGACTCCCTGGGAATGAGCTGCTGAAGTGTTTATAGCTGTTATAGCACAAGGCCCTCACACCCTGTCCCTTGTTAAGGAAGCAGTGTGCTTGTTAAATATTTTATTTAATTTAAATATTTTTTTATGGATTTTAGAGAGAGAGGAAGGGAGAGGGATAGAGAGATAGTGACATGGATGAGAGAGAGACATCCATGGGCTGCCTCCTGCATGCCCCCTACTAGTGATTGAGCCTACAACCTGGGCATGTGTCCTGACCAGGAATTGAATTAGTGACCTCCTGGTTCATGGGTCAATGCTCAACCGCTAAGCCACACTGGCTGGGCTGTTAAATACTTTGAACAAATAAAATAGATCTAAAGACAGGGCTTAGTAAGGAGACCAGAGGAGGACATGACCAGGCTTAGAGCTCTGAACCATTGTGTCTCATCTCAAGGTGACCACTGCATCGGTTTCCTTCACCAATGACTATTGAGACTAGTCTTAGTCAAAACTGTCACCACCTGGAGACACAGAGTATAAGGAACCTGGTTGGGCCTCCTTCCTCCCCCGAGGCTTTCCTTGTCATTCTCTTTCCCTCTCTCTGGAAAGTAGAACTACTGGCAGTCCCCCCAACCCCGATTTCCTCATATACAGGAAATAAGAGGGCTGGGCCAGTGTCTTGGAATCATGATGACTACATGGAGAACAGTAACTTTAAAAATCAGCCTAAGGACAGCAGTACATCGTGACCTGTTACAGGTATTTGTCATTGATACATTAGACATTTACACAGATAAGGGCGTTTCCTTGTTTTCCAGCTCACAATACCTTCATTTGTAGCATTTATGGATTCTAAACAGAGCAACTGGCTGGAGAGCACAGGAGGGCATCTTGGTGACTCTTCATAGGACAGAGGCTGTGCCCCTCACGCCCACAGTTCCCAGCAGAGGTACAATGTGCTCAGTGACTGTTTTGAATTCTAGAGGTTGAATTTGGTGTTCTGTGAATCACTAGGTGATAACAGAATACTAGCACTAATCATGGCTGATATTTCTTGAGTGCTTTCTACATGTTTGCATATATTATCTCACTGAAACCTCACAACTACTAGTATGTTCTAGATAGATACTATCATTATCTCCATTTTGTAACTAAGACAACTTAGGAAGGAGAATTGAAATACCTTGCTCAAAGTCAGAGTTTGAAATGGTGATGCTTGGGCTTAAACCTAGAGTTCTGTAAGGAAATTAGTTTAATATTCTGCAATTAAGACTAAAGCCGAAAGAGGGGAGAAAATGAAGTGTTCTTACCTCAAGAAATGCCTATGACATTATTTGCACCAAATAGGTGCCATTTAACTTAAGATTAGCAGAGTTCTTTAGAAACTTACCAACTTGCATGGAAGAAAGAAAATCATTGTTTTCTGATATTCTGCAAAGAATGTACCTATTTCTCTAATGGAGTGAAACATATAAATCAAAGATCAATTGACTCCATGTGTTTATTGAGCATTTACTATCCCAATTCTACAGAATCATTTGCCTTTGGCACAAAAGGAGCAAAAATTCTTGCCCCTGTGACCTGATAGCTTAAGGACAGATTTTTTCATGGTAAAACATAAGAGTTTTACCTGCTGGTTTTTCTTTAAGATTAATATTTCACTCTATGCTACTTTTATGCATTTAGATTCCTCAAAAATAAATAGAATATTAAATAATAAGTGCATTTATCATTAAGTTAAAATAATCTTATGATTCTTAAACTCACAAAGTTACATTTCATCCCTTTTAAAAAAATTTATCTGCCACTCTTGAGTAAATCTTCGTTGTAATGTGTCACGTAAGATACTCATTAGCTTTCAGATCTTGGTGATTCTAAGGGTTTGAGAAGAATCTACATAGGAGTTTATTAGCCTGCTCTCCAGTATGTGTGTTTGATCGCTCCTCTGACTTAAAAAAAAAGGAAAACTCATTAAATACAGTTCTTTGAATGCCAATGGGTATATGATTTTTGAGCTTGCCAAATGTTAATTGGTCTCTTCCCCAGTGGTGATACAAATACAATTTATAGCCATTTCATTTGCAGTCGTGAATCTTTTACTCCTTGACAAAGTGAACCACTAAAAAGTGAAGTTACTAGTCTCTCACTGAAAGTCTTTGCAGTGATCAGCTATCTTTAAGAAATATCAAGTCAAAATGAGGCTATGGATACCCATGTTCCCCAGGATGTGTTTTGGTCTTTAAGGTAGGTTAGCAGTGGTTATCAACCTTTTGGCCCTTTAAATACAGTTCCTCATGTTGTGATCCAACCATAAAATTATTTTCGTTGCTACTTCATAACTGTAATGTTGCTACTGTTAGGAATCGTAATGTAAATATCTGATATGCAGGATGGTCTTAGGCGACCCCTGTGAAAGGGTCCTTTGACCGCCAAAGGGGTCGCGACCCACAGGTTGAGAACCGCTGGGTTAGTGGATGAGTTTGCATCAGAATTTAGAAATGCTATTAGGAGACAGATGCACTATTGTAATATGTGAAATGACATAGTGAATAGAGTTGCCTCCTTTCTAATCACAGCAAGTCATTCTGCATGTCAGTGTTGGAAGATCATTTGGTATGGTTGGGAAAAGCAGCTATAACTATGCCACAATCTCTGATAAAATGCTAGAAAATGCCATGGAATGCCAATTACAAGGCAAAAATAGCTCTCTTATTTCTAAGTAAAAAAAGAAATTTTATTAAGAGTGTCACTTTGTGTCTTTTCATTGACACATGAAGATATGAATGGCTGTGACAGAAAAATTGAGTCATTTCGTAAAGGCACTGCCTAAATTTCTAACTAATTCATTATTATTAAATAGTGAAGAGCAATCCGATGTTTAATTTTGTTGCCCATGGGACCAGTTAACTGAGCTGACTCCCACCTTTGCTTGAACCTTCAAAAAATTAAAAAACAGAAACCTAATAGTAAGTACATTGTTAGCTATTAAGCAGTTTTTTGGACAAGTTGTAAGTCAAAGTAGTAGTATTTTGCAATTTCTTAGATAGGGGTAATTCAGGGCTTATTTTTATAAAATATCAGCTGACCCATAATTAGGCCCAAATTGCAACAATTTCAAAAATACTTCTTTCCGTATATGCGATAACGAGTAAAAATTCCAAAGGACTCAATGTAGTTTGGAGGTTAACAAGATCCACCAACCAATTGACAACTATGTTATTTGTCAAATTAAAGTTTTTCTGCGCTCCTAGGATACTGGATCAGCTAGGGTAATAGTGTCTTCATGCATCTTAGGATGTTTCCCAATTGTCATAAAAGGGTGATATTGTTCAGAGTCTGAAATTATTTGTTAACAAACAAAGGACACGGTGTTAGATGATTTTCCTCAGTAGTGTGCTCGAGGATGATGGGAGTATCTCAAGAGCATGGTACTCTCTGGCAGGCCTGTCCCCCACAGACAGGCATTTGAAAGAACACTGCATTGTATGGTGCTAATGAAAAGGCAGGATATGAGTCTGATTCATAATACTCATCAGCAATCGATAGGCTTTGTTTTAGCAAAAACAGAAAATGAAAATGAAGAGTTTGATGGAAAGCTTATAGGTTGAAATTAATTGACACTTGTCATTCTTCAAGCATGTTTTTATTCCTGGTGTATGAAAATGGCTCTTAGGTATATGTCCATGATTAGATCATGGAATAGGAAATACATATGTGGAGTGCACAGGCTCACACACACACACACACAAGCATGCATACACACATACTTTTTGCATACTTATCAAAAATAGTAATACAATTGATGGTACATTTTTAAGACATACCATTTCTCTCTATGATAAGCTCCAGATAAAATAAAGCAGGATTTCTGAGTTCTTGAAAGAGAATGACAAAAATCAAACCACGCTGACTGGCTTTGTCCAGTGGGGCATTCTAATTGACTCCCAAGTCATTAATCAGTTCCCAATCAATCTATTTTGCCAGCAGCAGGCAGTTAGGACTCCATTACCAACCATTCATCATTCCATACCCTAATTCACTGCGCCATTAGCCACGGATTAGGCCTCTGTTAGAATAACTAAGTGCCAGTTGCTAAATGCAAAGAATTTTTGTTACTCACCTCTGCCACTGGGATCCCTTCAGGCGGTCGACACTGGAGCAAAACTTCCTGTTCCAAGGATACTTCCTTCCCCAGGGGTTCCTGCTCAAATGTCTTGCGTAGATCTGGAAAGCGGAGGTAATAAAATACATGACAAAACTAATCTACAATTATTCACCTATAGAAAGTGCAATAAACTTCTTCCAGTTTTTTATGTCATGTGTCTTTTTTTAAACCACATGTCGTTAATACTGTACTGCCACCTGGGTGATTATATTCTGTGTGGTGGAAATTATGAAATTCAGAGGTTATTCACTGTTCCAACTTTAATCTTCACTGGAATGCTTTGAAGGTCACATTAACAATTAGTGACATTCTTTCCTTGCATTTCCTTATGATGATGATGTTCACATTTTTAATCAAAAGAACCCCATTGTCATGATTTTTATACATACAGAGTCCTTATGTACATAAATATTTTCCTCTCTCTTCACAATGAATAATATCAGAGTTGTAATAACTCTGAGATCTTTTGATCAATAGCTCAAAAGCAAGTTTAAAATCAGAATGCTGGAGTCTTAAAATAATAAATATAACCTCTTGAGGTATCTCGAACATAAGGCAGGGGAAAGAGGAACTGTTCAAATGAGTCCGGACATCTCTCACTATATAATAATGTGGCCATTTCTTCAATAAAAAATTAAATAGTCATTTCTGCTCAAATATATCAAGTACCTAGTTATGTATTTATATAGTTGTAGTTGCCATAGCAATATGGAGGCTTTTAAAAATTATTATAGATGGTCACAAAAATGTTAGAAACTAGCTTGTCATTTTAAATACCAACGTTAAAAAAATAAACGATTCAGCCATAGAGCTTTGAAGCAGCACACCAAATTTTTATTTCATACATGTATAATTCAGCTCCTTTCAATAAAAAGTTATTGGAATTTTATCCACTTCATTTTAATAAAAATTTAATGTCTCTGTCCTTTTAACTCATATCCCTGATAAAAACTTAAGAACCTAAAAGCACCATTTTAGCCTGATGAACTAATAAGTAAAAACACCAAAGCTCTAGAGTATATACCTCTGTCTTTCATGGAGCTATCAGAAAGAACCACCTGGAAAATGCACTAAGAAAAAAATCTATTGTTACATACTTGTCATTTTGTTGAATTTCTTGGCAAAAGAAAACCTTCAAGAGCTTAGGGATTGTGAGAAAGTTATGAATGTGTGTGGGTCTGAGGTAAGACAAGAGACTGTCCAAATAGTGACAGAATTTCTGTCATGTCAGAAGGACTCTTCTAGTTGAATTGTCAAAAAATTGAGTGTATTGTAGAAGTGAGCATTGAAAATCCACAGTTATTAAAATGGAAAGTTATCTAAGTCCTGTCCTTAATTTACATATAAGGAACATGTTTACCAAATTACTCAAAGGCTCACAGCAAAAATAATGGGTGCAGCATTAGAACCTGGTGACCCCTGATTTGATACTTATTTTGCCATCCCACACATCCTTTTAACATCTCTTTTGGTTAAGCCATGTCCTTCCCACAGAAACATTAAAAATACTCCTATTCTTTCTCTTCTGATATTGTAGCTTCTCTCTTTTCAATCTGCATTAAGATAAAAATTTTGGTAAAATACTAACTACTAATAAAAGTAAGAGCAGAAACGAATACATTTTTTGGGATAAAAGGTTCCTGACAGAGTATATCTACTTTTTGAAATATAATTCTGAAACCATCCATCTGCTGTGGGGTAGAGTGAAGACATCATGACTGGAGTTAGTTCTCAAATAATATTTTGACTCCCTTCTGGTAAAATTTATTAGCATATCACAAAATGAAGACTGAGAATGAGAAAAAGTGAGGCACATATGTATCTAAATAGTCAAAACAAATTCCTTTAATATTTATTAATTATCTACTTAAAGTAAACACTATACTAGGTGCTTAGGATGAAGATGTGAAAGATACTGAATCAAGACAAGAAAGGTAAGTTGAGATCTATTTATGAAAAGCCTTTCTGCCATGCGAAGGAATGGCAAACCCTAAAGGTTTTCTAAGCCAAGGAAGGAGATCAGATGTCATATTGCCCTCAGTGTTACAGATGGATTGAGACAGAAAGGAGTTTGGGAACCATCTGAGTAGACCACGGGATGACCGGGTCCTCTCATAGTGGACAGAAATAGGAGAAAGCAAATTCTAGAAATAAAGAGATCACACATTCTAAAGAAGACCTAAGTGTTTGAAAAGTGCCATGAGGCAAAGATAATACTATATTTTTAGCTATTGCAATTGTTAAGTTGGTACCATTATTAGGTACTAGTAATGAATTGAGCAGAAAAGTGAGGAGAAAAAGCAAATTAATTTTGTTCCATATTCAGTTTGGTGTGTCTGTGGGATATGCAAATGGAAAAGTCTAGTACATCCAGGTCATGATTTCTCAACCTCAGCACTGTTGATGTTTGGCACTGGGTAATTCTCTGTGCATAGTGCTTAGCAGCATCCCTGGAATCCACCCAGTAGAAGCCAGTAACACCTTTCCCAGCCATGACAAAATAAATTGCTCCAGAAAATACTATGTCTTCCGAGAGGAAAAAAAACAACAACACACCCAACTTGAGAATCACTGGATGTAGAGCTTGGAAAAGAAGTCAGGGTAGAAGATTTGTGCTTCGTTGTCTAGGAGATAGCTGAAGTACTGGAAACAGATGACATCACAGGGAAAAGACTGAAGCATTAAAAAAAAACACAAAAACAAAACAAAACAAAACAACAGGACCCCAACATTCAAGAGCTGCCAGTAAAAATGACATGGTGTGAACCAGGAAGCAAGTGAAAGAAGTAAAGACAAGTGTCAGAGGAACCAAGAGAAAAATAAAGTTTTAAGAAGATGGGAGGTCAACAGGACAAATATAGCAAAGACTCAAAGGGGAGAAGTCATTGGTTTGGGAAATTTAGGAGTGACCGGAGGAGACTCCAAGCTGTGTTGAGGGGTGGACAGGAAGTGGGAAAATGGCCATCATGAGACGCTATTGCTCTTTTGTAAAATTTTATGGTGATAAAAGTCAGCAGCACCATTAATGGAGGATGGATTTGAATGACGATTGTTATAATTTTTCTGAAAATATAGTGTGGTTTTGGCACAGTTTTTACATTCCTGCCCTGTGAAGGCACACCTTAGGAGATCCTTGCTTCCTAATTGAGAATAATGACCATATGACAGAGGTATGTACTGCCAGAGACAGGTTTAACTGAACTATCGTGGAATACCATATAATTATTTTGTTTTAATGGTTTGACTTCAAACTCACTATAAATATCATCTCATTTCTAAAATGATCTCACATTTAACCCTCCACAAAGCAATCCTTCTTCCAGAAAAAAATCCTTTTAATTCCTGCCATAAAGCTTCCTTCCTAGCTTTCAGGTAGAATCATGAGCTTAGAAAATACTGTGGTGCCCAGCACAGCAGCTGCTCATTTCAGTATGCCTCCACATTGCTCCGTAAGCAGAGGAGGGGTAACGTTTTGAGCGCATCCTCTATCGCGGGGAGATGTGATAGAAGGCAGGCCGATACCTTGCAGGCAGAGAGAACACACGGGTGACGAATGAATAAGCATGAAAAACGGACACTTGTCAGCCAGGCATTAGATGTAAAACAGAATGGTTCAGAACAATGTGGGTACGCCTGCCAGGGAAAAAGATGAATTTCAGCCCTTGGAAGACCTTTATGATTCTAAATTTCTGTTTTCTTTCCATTAGTTCTAGGGCTGCTACCAAAATAAGTATAAAGGCCTTTCATTATAACCTCGATTACTTTTGCAAAGTCAACCTGCCTACCTCTGATTTAGTCATTGATTCCACCAATTAAAAGAAAAACCAGCTTTGTCATATGCATGCGTTCAGAGAGCTGTTTACTTAGGAACATGAATATTGGCTTACTAAATCCATAAAGAGAAATCCAATTAGCAGATGTAGAATTAGGCCTGAAACTATATGGATTTCTATTTACCATTTACACAGTAATCAAAGAAAGGCTTTTAGAATACAAACACATGCGTGGGTACAAACAATGTCTCATTTTCTATTAGAGAATTCTGATGCATTCAATGATTTTTTTGCACAATAATAGTAATACTGCAGTTACAAATTATTTATGATGTGGAATACCTTAATTCATGGCATTCTCCGAATATGAACTCTGCTTTTAGACAATGTGATAATTACAAAGGGAGGTTAACCAGAAGTTCAAAGACTTTGTGGCCTTCACCTTCCTGATTGGTAAAATGAAAGGGAATGACTGGATACTTTTGCAGGTCTCCTTTGTCATAGGAGCCTATGACTAACTAGACTAACATTTTAAATGTATATTTTTTTGGGGGGGGGGCTTATCCTTTGTTAAATACAACACATCTTGGCTATATCTTTAAGGAAATATACCAATTATCAGTGTCCAATATTAATAACAGAATAAATTATTTTTTTCAAATATATTTTTATTGGTTTTTCGAGTGAGAGGAAGGAGAGGGAGATAAAAAGAGAAACATCTTTGTGAGAGTGAAACATCAATCAGCTGCCTCCTGCACGTCCCCTACCAGGGATTGAGCCCATAACCTGGCATGTGTCCTGACCACGAATGGAACAGGCAACCTTTTTGGTGTGTGGGACGATGCCCAACTAACTGAGCCACAATGTCCAGGGCAAGAAATTATTTTGATGCATCTTTGAAGGGAACAGCTAATAATTTTCCTTTCAGGACAAATTTCATGGAATTTTTGGACACTTGGATAGACAGGTACGGGTAAGAGTATGACAATGGGAAATGAGTGGGTTTCAGAAGATGCTGTGTTACAAAAATCAGAAAATTCTTCAGACAAATCCAAGGAAGAATCACAAAAGCAGATGAATATTAAAGGTTGGATGACTATGAATGTATTTGGGATTACTTTGAGAAAACTAATTTTTTGTCTCTATGGAGAGATGGGAAAACTAATTTTTTGTTTCTATGGAGAGATGCGAAACAGCATGCAAGAAAGCCCACCATGTCAATGTGAACATTTATGAAATGGGCAGAAAATCACATCCCTGTACCGAACCAACATCCCTCAGGCTAC